ACAAAATGATGAGCACACTTCCTCTTCAACGTGTGGCTCTTTCAGGATTGGATGGAGATGGTGGCGGGCTGTCATTTGAGTATCGTCCTCTGCGTCGCGAAGACGATGCATTCTGCCTGCGATGCTCCATCTCGCGCGTTTGCCCAATCCGCGTCATTGAAGGCCGCGGGAGCGAGCTTGTGAAACGGGATGTGCTTGATCTTCAACTCCACGCTGCTGGAACTTAGTAGTCTTTCTGCCGATGCGTTTCGCCGCCAATAATTCCTCGACCACCAGCTTGGGCATCTTTCCTTGGAGTACTGCACCTGGCCCTGACAAATCTGGTCTGCACTCGTGCGCCAAGAAGGAAATCGAACCACGCAGGCTCCTTGCTGGATGAGTTCGTCATGATTTACTTATGACTGGGGCTCCCTGCGCCTCTCCGTCGCACTGTTGATGAGCTGGATGCTGTCGGAGCTCTGACTCTGCGACACGATGATCTCGGTGCTGTCGTCATTATGCATGAGCTCCTTGCCCGTGGACTTGCCCTTCTTGAGATGCCAGGCTCCGAATGGAAACCAATCCCGCAACTTCTTGCAAGTTTCGTCAAAAAGGCTGCCACCTCCGCCAACGACGTCGTCCGCCTTCAAGCCCATGACGCCAGGAAGGCGCTTGTCGCCGCGCAGGTAAGAGACGCAATCGTCGAATACGGAGAATTTGAACCCGATCTCCTTGGCGCACTTGGTAAAACCTGATAGCCATTGCAATGGGGGGTCTTCAAGTCCGCAAACCGCCGTGAATCGCCCCACCAATGAAACTCCCTCCACTTCTGGAATGCCTGTCCGGGGTAACCCCACGCACCGGCTTCCTCGCGATCGATAGATGGGATCGCCTGCGGCGAAGGCCGAGGCGATGTCGGTCAGCTGCAACGCCCACTTGTCTGCACACAGACCCTGTAGAATCAAGAGCACGGAGTCCTTCCCGACCCCGACAACGGGACTGTAAGTCTCGAGAACTAGCGCCGTCGACCATGAACACCAGCTGCCTCTTGCCTGCGCCCGCCTCCTCTGGGTCGCCGCCCTTGTCGGTCAACGCCCGCCGAGAGCCCATGATCCGCCAAGCTCGTTCAGGTTCCCGTCGTGCCTGCTCAGCTTCGGCGGGTGGAAGTACACGCGCCGCTGGAGCGTTCATGATGGCGCCCTATCCTTGCCGCTTCGCCGCGACGCAGGGCTGGTGCCAGAAAGTGTTTACCAGGGACTTCTCGGTGATCTCCCGACGAAGTCGCTGATTGGTGCTGGTAAGTAGTGCTGTACTGACTTGCTGCCATTTGATCGTCCTGCCCTTCTTCTTAGGTGGAGCTCCCACGTCCTTAGCTATCTTCTCCTCGATGGTCGTGATGCGCTCTGTCACCAGCATGGCTGAGCTAGGAGCATCGGATTTCTGCTTGATGGAGAACGGATCGTCGTCGCGGTGGTCGTAGCGCATCGTGGGCGCGGAAATGGGATCTGGGTCGACGCCCCCTGCCGTCCCGATCTCCTTGATGGGTGGCTGCCATGGCGACGGTGCTTGATCGTCACCTGCGGGTTCTGGTGGTGCTGCTCGTGGTACTTTGTCTTCTTGTTCCTCGGGGAATGGGGGGAGGCATATTTCTGCGACGGGTTCTCGTGCGTGCGGCGACCGCAGTTCTTTTTGTTGATCTCCTCCTGCATCGTGGTTTTTACCTGCTCCCGAGCCGTCGCCTCTCCTTCGTCAGCGCGTCGAAGCTGCTCAGGTGAACACATCCGCACACCTCCCTGATAAGAACACCAGACGGTGTTCGGTAGCTCTGTCTGAACCGCCCGTGCTGGTCCGCGCCATGAGCTGACGGGTAGATTGTCACTACTGCTTCTCCAAAAGTAACACCCGTCACCAGGTTGGAAGGTAGTTCCCCTCGTAGGCCTGGTCCTTCTGTTGAGCGCGCGACTCCACGTCTCCGAGCATTCTGCCTCGATGTAAGCTGCCATCGCCGCCTTGCGCGTGCCGATGCTCCTGGCCAACTCGGCGCCTCCACTCCTTGCCCTCGATGCCGTGGATTTGGACGCCCGGAATGGGCACGGAAAGCGTGGGCGCAATGCCCAAAAACAAATGTTGTCTCAAACAAACAGCGGCCGCTGTTGGGCTGTCGGCCTTCTGTCTCGAATGGACACAGGCCGCGGCGGCGTGGACAGCGAGTCCTGTTCAAAATGATCAAGATCCGCTGTTGGGCATTATGTCAATTCTTTCCGCGCTCATTTCGTCTGCGCATAGTGGAGAGACCCCCCTTCCAGAATCTGTTCGGGAATCCTACATGGTCGTCCAAATACTCGATGGCATGGTGTGAAACCTCCCCTCCGCACGCTCTCCCCGATGACCGCGTTGACCGTTTCCACCACCTCGTAGAAGTCGTCCCAGTTGGCCGTGTTGAACTCCTGCCTGGTCCTGTAGAAATTCTCCTTCCAGGTGCCTCCAACTCGCGCTGCCTTGCCCGCCTGCCACGGCGAAGAGGCGCTTGCGACGTTGACCTCGGCCCCATCTCCCCCGGCAGCTACAAGAAACTCGCCAGCTGAGAAGCCTTTGCCTCCGTCGATGACCATCGTGCGCTGCGCGCCGTAGACCCGCGGCCAGAATGCTCGATAGTGGCGGCGTATCTGGTGCCCATGCCGACTAGGGAGTGGCATCGCGATCTGGTGTCCCGCGCCATGGCACACCATGTTCAGCATGGGGACATTGGCGGTGCTCCTGGGATCCAGTACGAAGGGGATGTCCATGCCTGTGGGTCGTTGATCTGGTAGTTCGTAGGTGCCTGAGAAGGCCATGCGAGTATCGGTTGTTTGTTGGCCGCACAACTCGGACGCTCCAGCTGCTGCACCGCCTGGATGCAGGCCTGTCGCGCCTTGCCGTACTTCAAGACCATGACCAAGTTCTCGTTGCTGCAGTGCCCCATTTTCACGTGCATCTTCTGAACCTATTGCTTCACCTGCGGGTCGATGCCCCTCTCGTCCTTCGCTGGTATCGTAGGTTCTGCGCAGCATGGTGTACAGATCGCTGGCTCCTCCTCTGTCTTCTCCTCGCTGCTATCGTGGACCTTCCCGGTCAGCGTCTCCTTCTCGATAGACCTTACAAGGGCCTCGGTCAGCTCTTTCAGCGACTCGTAAACGTCTCCCACCTACATCTGAGATGGCCCGTTCACGAACTCCCGGCGCAGCATCTTCCCGCGCTTCAGTGCCGCCCCTTGTAGATTGGATACCCAGCTTCGCCCATTCGCCCAAGCTTCTCCTTGGCTCACTTCTGGTAGGCGCCTCAGCTTCTTGATCAGCGTGTCCTCCCAGTCTCCAGAGTGGTTGTGCTGCTCGTTGTAGGAGTACCTCCCGTCGATGATCTGCTGAATGGCCACGTCTGAAATTAACGCGGGCATCCCCTTGCCGATATTATATTTCAGCTGGGATTTGTGGATAGATGTCCTTGGGTGGCTGGATGATGATAAGCAAGGGATTCGTGCTCTGCGTCTCGTCCCAGACCTCCTGCTGGCCCGCTCTGGTCATCAAGTGAAGACCCATCAGCGTCATGACCTCCCTGCTCTTGATGTTCCTGGTCGCTCCTGTATCCTTGCCCAGGTCCTCGATCTGCGGCTCGCGCTCGTCTCCGATCTGGCCCATGAAGACCTGGCTCTCTGGGATGGCTAAATCGATCGTCTAAGGTAGTCTACCTTGTCGAATTGCTTGATGGACTTGTTCATGATGCTGTTCTGCCTCTCGCTTAGTAGGTTCGCAATTCGCTGCTGTCTGCTCCGAAGTGCCCCCTCGACCTCCCGACCGGGTGGTCGGTCGTCTCGTTGGCGTTCTCGCCCCTCAGCAGCTCGCCAAATACCTGTAGCGCCTTGCTCCGAGGTGACTCGCCCAGCCCCTCCCAGTCCTCCTGCGTCTCCTGATCGTCCCGCTCGCTCTCGTGGTGCCGGGTGGTTGGTCTGCTGCTCGCTGTCCTGGCTGCTGGCTTGGACGTCGCTGGCGTCGCTGTCGCCTCCGCCTCCTGCCCCTTGCCGGCCCCGGCCTTGCGACCCCATGGCTTTCGCCCCTTGGCCCGAGCCCCCATCGTCCATGAACTCCTCCAACTTCGGGGTCACCTCCTGCATCCCGTTCGCCGCCCTCGGTTCGAACTCCTAGCGAAGCTTTCGCCCGCTGCGCTGGGCGTAGATGGAAGGCCTTCGCGATCCTTCTCTTTCGCTGGTTCGCTGTCCCCGGCCCTCGCCCCGACGGTGGGGGGTCGGGACCCCTGGTTGATGAGCCCGTAGGGCCTGCGCACCATCGACCCCGTCGGCGGGATGGGCTCGTTGCAGATCTTGCGCCAGGGCCACTTGTAGGTCGCGTCGCGCTGCGTGCTGAACTGTTTCTTCGGGCCCATCGCCTCGCGTGTAATAAGCTTCTCCTGGGCAGTGGGCGCCCCCACCTGCCCCGCTGGCGTTGCGGGCCCTCGCGACGACAGAGGCTGCGAGCGATCAGCAGAGGAACTCATGGGCTCGTCGCACGACATAGAAATATAGAAAAATACTGGTTGATCGAGCGGTTCTCGGGGAACCTGCCCGCGAACACTTACCCGAGACGAACGGACTATTCGAATGCGTTCTGCTGTCGTCATTCCGTTTTCTTCTGATAATTTCGATCACCTCGTCGTTGTGCTTGCTGTGGCACTTGCTGGCGATGCCGCCGTTGCTCTCCTGCTCCCGGTTGCCTGCTCTGAAATTGTAGTGCGCGTCGTTGCTCTTACCTGTCCTGCGTTCGTCCCCTGTCTGCTTGCCATCTTGCCCTTTCCGCTTCTCGTAGTGCGCGTGCTATTTCTGCTGCTTTGCGCCTGCTCGCTGCTCGCCCAATTAGGCGCGCGTTGCCCCCTTGAGGCCCGTCGCTCCCGAGAAGAAGCGCGTTTCGACCTGCGGGGCGCTCCTGGGCCCCTTCTGAGGCAGGCGTCGATGGATAGATATACTCGCCACCCGTTCCGGAGTCCATCGAAACTTCCTTCGCGCGCGGCGCCCAGCTCTCAGGCCACCCCTGCGGCCCCGCGAAATCGTCCAGTTGTAACAGGAAGCGCAGGCCGCCAGCGCGTGCCAAGGGAAGGGTGACATTCTGCTCTGGGGGGTCGAGCACTGACTGGAACGCGCGCGACGATTCCTTCAGCCCAACGACGAACGTCTTACATAGAAACAGCGGCGCGGCCCCCTTGACCAGGCGCGCGAAGATTACGCCGCTGAATTCGCCGAGCGTGATCGGGATGATAACATCCTCCGTCGCGGCGCAGACCTGGTCGTTCCCGAAGCGATACTTCTTGCAGTATGGCATCGTCTCCAGCCTGAGGTCGCGGCGCCCCTTGCAGCGCCTGACCCGCGCGTCGTGCGTCTCGAGGCCCATCGCGTTGAAGCCGCGCGCCGCGTCTACTGCCCCCCGCCCTGGTCTGCCCGAATTCTCGATGCCCACCGCCAGGTTGACGTGCCAAGCGAAGTTTGACACCGACGCCATCCTCGCCTCCGAAACGACGCAGCTGCGCACCTCGTCGTCCAGATCTGTCATCGCGGCGAAACCTCCTGTCGGATTGACCTTGTCCCTGGGGTTATCGGGGCGCGCCGTCGCGCCCATGTCCTAGCTTCTGGCTTGTGCCGCGCTCTGTCCGCTTCTTGACGTCCTCGATATTATCCTCGGTTTTTCTTATGCTCCTGACGTTATGGAACCCCCTGTTGGTGTTCTTGTCGGCGACGATATGTTTGGCCTCTCCCCGCGTCTTGGGATCCGGCGGAGGTGCGACAACGCAGTGCAGTCCAGCGCCTCCGTCTCCACCAGCGTCTCCCCGTGGTCCAGCTTGTCGTCTGCGCCGTTTGCCGCGTCACCCTCGATGCCCAGCAGTTTCGCCATCGCGTCGTAGATGATGTTGCCCTCCTCGTCGCCGTCGGAAGGTGCTGGCCCATCTTCTATCCGTACTCCTGCTAGGCAGGCCGTCCTCATGGGCGTCGTCTTGTCGGTCACCGTGTTGTCGTCGGTCATGCGCTCGAGAATTGCCACCAGCATGTGCGCGTCACCGTCGTACCCCGTCTGGATAAGCACCTGGCCCCGCTCCGCCTTGACAAGGCCAGCCCCCAGTAGCAGCAGAAACCCGATCGCCGTATCGTTAAGAGTGTTGGGGGGCAGCCTGACCAGCTCCTTCTGATCAGCTCTGATCCGATTGGTGAACTTCGTCAGTGTCTCATAGCGCGATCTCGGTGCCGCGAACAGCGTCTTCTCCAGCTGCAGGAAGATATCGTCGCCTGCCTCTGGAAGCGCAAGCGTATCCAAGGCCATGATGACAGCATGAAGCCCTCCAGCGTACTGCACACTCCCTGGTCGTAGACGCCGTGTCGCCGTCGCCGTTTCCTTCGTCAGGTGCCGCAGTAGCGTCTCTCTCTGCTCTTCTGGTGGTACCGCCGTGAGTCGACTCCACCTGTCTATCGCCTGCCTCTTCTCGGGCCACCCGCTGAGATCCTCTCCGTCCCACGACGGGCAGGGAGGCTCGGCGCGTTCCTTGTCGGTGGTCTCCTTCGTACTCGTCATCTCGCTCTTGCTTACCTCGTGCCACCGCCGCCGCTTTGACCTGTTCTGGCGTGCCGAATCCTCTCGAGCGTGAGCTGTCTGAGTTCGTGTCCGACCCGCTCTTCTCGAACGTCTGGCCGTACTTCTCCCCAGAGAACCAATCATCCTAGTCATCGTTTGCCCACCAAGCTCCCCAGTCAACTTGATACCCGTGGCCCGTTCTCGAATCGAGATCCTGCGCCGCTCTGCCCTGCCGTCTCCACCTTCGCCAGGGGTCTCGTGTGCCGTCGTCGATGCTGTCGTGATGCTCGCCCCTGCTGTCCTCCGGCTTCTCATCGAAGACGATTTCTCAATTCCGCTTGTCTGCGTCGTGCCTGGAGTCGTTGCCGTCGCTCCGCTTCGCTACCACATGTGGATGGACTCTCGGATGCGAGCATGCGTCGTCGAAACACCGATACAACGAGGGAGGTCGAGGGATGCGGCGGCAAGCACTCTTCAGTACCGAGCGCGCATGCTCCTGGAAGCGACAGACCCCCTTGCCCTAAACCGAGACGGCGGTAAAGGAAACAGGATTCAGGCTTTGGGCTAAGCACAGGTAGCTCCTAAAGGGCCTCGGGATGCTCCAGAAGGACTCCGAAAGACTCCGAAGTCCTTCTAGAATCGCACCAACTGTGTCCGTTACTGGCTGCGTAGGGCCCCAGGAGCATCCGGAGAGCCACCAGAGACGAAGGGGACAATAACACACACGGTTTGAGTACGCGGCCAAGCCAACCGCCGCCGCCCCCCCAATGTAACCATCCCCACTCCACGCTCGACCCACCCCCCTTCTGTCGCTCCATCCTCTACCCATCCTGTAACTGACCTGTATCCTCCCATCTCCGAGTATTCCTACATACTCCCTCCTCCAGCCTCCCTCCACCCGCTATCCGCCCCCCCCTCCCCCTCCTGGCCGTGAAGTCCCCTGGATTAGAAGGTCAAGAGGAAGGGGCAAGCACGGCAGGTTTCTGATCCCACGCCTGGCCCCATGAAGCGCCATCCAAATGAGAACAAGTTCTGGTCGGCCTGGGACAAGACTGATGCAACCTCCTCCCTCCCCCCTCCCTACTCATCACCTCGTTCTCACTATCGCTTCTCTCCCACCCTCCTCCTCCTCCTCCTCCTCCTCCTCCTCCTCCTCCTCCTCCTCCTCCTCCTCCCTCTGCTCTCGAGTGGCAAAAACATGGCATGGGTAGAAACTTTCGGGACTCCGCGCGGATGTCTTGGCTCGGCACTGGACCCACACACCCTGGCGCCAGAGGGCGGCGCCAGATACGCGCCAAGGGGGCTCCAGCGCCGATCCGAGACATTCGCCCTGAGGTCCAACAGACTACGCATGTGTATGCCATGTGTTGTTCCCGGATCCCCCCCCACCTCGTTATCACCATCGCTCCTCCTCCTCCTTTTCCTCTTCCTCATCCTCCTCCATCTCCTCCTCCTCCTCCCTCCATCTCCTCCTCCTCCTCCTCCTCCTCCTCCATCTCCATCTCCATCTCCTCCTCATCCTCAAAATCATCCTCCTCCTGATCCTGCTCCTCCTCCTACTCCTCTTTCCTCCTCCTCTTTCCTCCCCCTCTCTCCTCCTCCCCTCCTCCACCTCCTCCCTCCTCCTCCTCCGCTCCTCCTCCTGATCCTCCTCCTCCTCCTCCTCCTCCTCCTCCTCCTCCTCCGTGCCTCCGCCCTTGCCTCCTCCGCCTTGCCTCCTCCTCCTCCTCCTTCTCCTCCTTCTCCTCCTCCTCCTCCTCTGCCTCCTCTTCCGCCTCCGCATGACGGGCTTCCCTCAGGTCCCGACCACCTCCCCAGAGCCGGCTTCTTTCGCATCCCGAGTGTGTGTTTTCTTGACGGCCCCGACGAGCCACACAACGGGAGCCCTCGGAGGCCGAGCACGGCGAACAACAGCTCCCGTCGCGTGATTTCTCCCACGGCGCGAACGCGCCTGGGAAGGCTCCAGGGCGCGCGCTCCTCCGGCTGCCCCTCGGCTAAACTTACGTCGGGCGTCCCCCTAGAGGGGGATTTTCTACGATAAATAATTACCCTGTGACGTACCCAACCCATTTGTATCAATGGAAACGAGGAGTTGGCCGAAACTTGCTTGCATGGACAATGATGTGTAAGCTACTTGGGACACGCGCCTATGGCATGATGCGCAGGAGAACCATACAAGAACGAGGGGCGACAGCTACAGGCTCGAAGAGGACATGGGGAGTCGGGAACGCAGAGCAGGAGAAAAACGTGCGGGAAGCCGAACCATCAGCACGGCAGCAGCAGAGGGAAGGTGACTGCAGGAGGAGAACAAGGACGAAAGCGGCGTCTAATTTGAGTCTGCGGTGGGTACCCACTGTGCTGTGCCCCTCAGCAGCCCTCGAAAGTGGCGACAGTTTCACAGATCGCAGCCCCCCAGGGATGGCGAGGTCTAATTTGAGTCTGCGGTGGGTACCCACTGTGCTGGGCCCCCCAGCAGCCTCGAAAGTGGCGACAGTTTCACAGATCGCAGCCCCCCAGGGATGGCGAGGTCTAATTTGAGTCTGCGGTGGGTACCCACTGTGCTGTGCCCCTCAGCAGCCCTCGAAAGTGGCGACAGTTTCACAGATCGCAGCCCCCCAGGGATGGCGAGGTCTAATTTGAATCTGCGGTGGGTACACTGTGCTGGGCCCCCCAGCAGCCTCGAAAGTGGCGACAGTTTCACAGATCGCAGCCCCCCAGGGATGGCGAGGTCTAATTTGAATCTGCGTGGGTCACTGTGCTGGGCCCCCCAGCAGGCCTCGAAAGTGGCGACAGTTTCACAGATCGCAGCCCCCCAGGGATGGCGAGGTCTAATTTGAGTCTGCGGTGGGTACCCACTGTGCTGCCCCCCAGCAGCCCTCGAAAGTGGCGACAGTTTCACAGATCGCAGCCCCCAGGGATGGCGAGGTCTAATTTGAGTCTGCGGTGGGTACCCACTGTGCTGGGCCCCCAGCAGCCCTCGAAAGTGGCGACAGTTTCACAGATCGCAGCCCCCCAGGGATGGCGAGGTCTAATTTGAGTCTGCGGTGGGTACCCACTGTGCTGCCCCCCAGCAGTGGCGAGGTTTCACAGATCGCAAGGGATGGCGAGATGAGTCGCGGTGGGTACACTGTGCAGCAGCCCTCGAAAGTGGCGACAGTTCACAGATCGCAGCCCCCCAGGGATGGCGAGTCTAATTTGAGTCTGCGGTGGGTACCCACTGTGCTGTGCCCCTCAGCAGCCCTCGAAAGTGGCGACGGTTTCACAGATCGCAGCCCCCCAGGGATGGCGAGATCTAATTTGAGTCTGCGGTGGGTACCCACTGTGCTGTGCCCCTCAGCAGCCCTCGAAAGTGGCGCAGGGATGACCAGGTAGGAGGCAGGCTGGCACGCAGCGACGAGCGAGGAAAAAGTGAAGGAGGGAAGGAAGGAGGGAAGGAAGAAGGGAAGGAAGGAGACGCGCGAGCAGTGCTCTATTCAAAACGAGGACCCAACGCAGGAGGGTTGGGAAACATATGCAACGAATAATCAGCAAACTATTCAATACATATATATGTATAAAAAAGAGTCAGTGTTGCGTATGTATTGCGATGTTTGAATATTTTGGGGGTATTTTTATTTTTCGTCGAAAATCCCCCTGTAGGGGGACAGGCCCGACTTAAGGCTAAACGCAAGAGTGACCCCAGGGAAGATTTGACCTTCGGTGCGCGGCCCCACGGGGGACGCGGGGGGGCCGAACCCGGGCGCGCAAGCCGCTGCGAAGTACTGCCTCGCGCTCAGCGACCGCGCGGGGCCCCGTGGGGCCCGCACCCACGGGCACTCCGGCAAAAAGCTCACTCACACGCCTGGTCGAGTATCGCGATCCTCCCGAGGCATCCTCCAGAGCCGCCGGGTCTCAGAAATTCTCGACTCATCCTCCCACGAAGTTATCCTCCATCCGGCCTCCAGGGCCTGGCGCCAGCCGCGGCGGCCGCGGCGCCGCCGCCGCGCCAGGACCCAGCGACGACGCCCTGAAGGGGCCGCCGCGGGGCGGATGGCCAAGGAGTCGTCCCGAGCCGACTCGACATCGGAGCGCCGCGCCCGGCTCCGGAGATGGCCCCGGCCGGTACGGATGGGTCGGACCAGACCGAACCGGAATCGCGGCCCCAGCTGGCGAAGCGAGTGGCACCGAATCGGCTCGAAGGCAGCCCTGAGAGTAGGGGAACAACAAGTGGCAGAAACATAACAACTCGGAGGTCCGCGCGGATTTCTCGGATCGGCGCCGGGGCCCCACGGCGGCGCCTCCGGCGCCGCCCCTGGCGCGCTCCGCGCGCCAGGGAGGCGGGTCCAGCGCGGATCCGAGAACTCCGCGCGGACCTCCGAGTTTTTATGTTTATGTCACTTGTTGTTCCCCTAGAGAGAGAGAGAGAGAGAGAGAGAGAGAGAGAGAGAGAAAAAAAGAGAAAGAGAGAGAGAGAGAGAGAGAGAAAGAGAGAGAGCGAGAGAGAGCGAGAGAGAGAGAGAGAGACCTCCTCGCACCTTGGAGGACTCACGACGGGAGGCCGTCGGCCGTTGTCGCCATGCAGGGCCCCCCCGCGGGCCCCAGGACAGCCAGCCCCGAGAAAGGCGTCGAGATCCACGGGTGTCCCGCGCCGTGGGAACATCGCGTCGGGGCTCGGGGGACTGGAGGGGAGCGGGAGGGGAGGCTGGAAAGGAGCTGGGCCAGGGGCAGGAAGTGAATCCAGGGGAGCGGCAGGGCGACGCAGTCAGAAGGGCGGGCGGGGTGGGAGGGGATGCCGGGGGAGAGTGAAGGGACGGAGGGGCAAAGGCAGGGCAGTGAGGCGGGAGGGGCGGGGGAAGCGGAGGATAGGGACATGGAAACAGTGGGGTAGCACGAGAGCGAGGGGGCTGGCGGGCGGGGAGGCGGGGAGTGGCCTGCGCCACGAGTTCTGCCCGACAGTCGCGCAGAGCACAGTCAACCCGTATCATAAGGAAGCACGACAAGGATGCAAGGGCCTTGGCAGGCCATCTCGAAGCTTTTCGAGCGGGGCGCGGCCAATAAAAG